TTCAATACAGTATGTGTTGAGAGTAAATATATTGGAATAGGTTTACTAATAAATAATATTATTTATAAAGTAATTAGTCTCGAAATTCCGAATTCACTTAGTTAAATAAATAGAGGTTCCTAGAATTTAAATAAGAAATAAAGTTTCCGTTATTTTATAATTATAATATATAATTTTTAAATAATTTCACTTTATCGTATGTATTATTTTAGAACTCTGTTTGTAGAACTCAATAATATATGATAGCTCAATGATTCTTCTAATTATAAAGACACTATTCTTCTTCTTTCATTCACATATTAGATTTACAATTTCAATCCAGCCCTTTTAAGCTTCTTCTGCAGTCAAATATTTTCTATAATGTTCGAAATCCCCTTTTCGCAATATCCACTTTGAGGTCAGAGAATGAAGTAAGCATGAATTTCGTTTCTGCCTGATCATTTAGTACGCTTCTTCGCCCATTGTTTGGGTCTAATAATAAATGGTGTTAAATAGTTTGGCTCGACGGGTAGCTCAGATTTTGATGAGCATTCCAGTCCCGCAAAGCCCCTCTAGTAGCCTCTTCTAATAACCCCCTTTGAGCACGATGATTTGCACCTTTTTGGCAAGTCGAAACTAATTTTGAGTTTTTTCCTCCAACTTTTCTTTTTTTTGCCACACTCTTATCAGCGCAAATAGACAATTTAAGAGATAGAGAGAAGAGCATGGGAAAGAGTGTGAGCAAGAGTGTGTAGTGGGGCGGGGGCGAGGGCGGGTAGCGGTCAGGAGCGTAGTTGCGAGGGGCTCTTATCAGCGTCTGCCTGCAAAATGACAATTTTATTTGGCGCTCATTTCGCTGCCTACCCCCACTAGCGCCCCCATTGACCCTGCTACCCTCGCCCCTGGGTCGCTTTTCGCGCAATTGCATTTGCTGATAAGCAAATTAGCTTGCCAACTGGCCTAGTAATTGAGTTTGCGGGAAGAGACAGGTACATGTGTAAGGTAAATGTGAGCATGTGTGTGTGTGTGGTGGGGGCGTTAACCAGTCGAGCAAACTTCTAAGCAGCCGCCGATTGAGCAAAGCTTTTTTTGCCAAAAGCGGTTCTCACATTTGTCATGGCAGAAGGAGGAGTGTGGGAGGCTAGAAAGGGGGAGTTCATAATAAAGAAAAGTGGCCGCAAAGAGTGCTTAAAAAATGGAAATAGATGAGTGTGCCAAGAGCAGAGCGGAGGCTGGGCAGGGTCGCAGGTGAACACAAAAAAAGATGAAAATCAAATAGAAACATGAGAGCAAAAAATGTACTAAAGAATTTCTACTTATAACGAGTTTTTATTACAAACGCGCGAAAGCGGCACAAAAAAAAATAAAATAATAATAATAAAATAAAATAAAAGAGAGAACGGACTGCTTCTCAAACCGTTAGCCGAAAATGTATTAAAAAAGAAGTAAAAATAAGTAAGCAAAAACAAAAAAACAAAAAAATACAGACCGAATCTAACAAAATTCCAAAAGGAGTGCCTGGGCCACAGGGAAGAGCGAGGGAGCGACGGGAGTAGGCAGAGTGGGAGAGTGCACATAAAAAGTAACAGCATTTTTGCCTAGCAGACAAATGCACAGACAGACGCAGAGACGGACGAACTGGCAGATGAAGAACAAGACTGCGAAAGCATGAAGCAACATTATTCAAAAGAAAGCCAAGTTAAGGCATGCCGAGCACTCACACAAACTCAAAGAGAGAGGCAGAGTGAGAGAGGAACGGAGAGAGAGAGAAAGAGACAGAGAAAGAGGTGAAGAGAGAACAGACAGACAAAAGCAGCATAATGCAGCAGAGAAGTGCATGAGACAGGCACAGTTACAACAACAATGGCGGATCGCAGCTAGCATTAAACATCAAGTAGCAGCAGCAGAAGCAGAAGCAGCAGCAGCGGCAGTGGCAGTGGCAGTGGCAGCGACAGCGGCGCCGACAGTAACGGCAACGCCAGCAGCGAATGTAAGCGTTACAACAACAAACACATGCCGACATTCTTTCATTCGTACAACGACCTCGACTTTGATTTGCAGTTAAACGGCCAGAGCCAAGTAATTTTCGCAAGCGTGAGAGAATTATTTTCGCGAGAGAGCAAGAAGCAAGGCGAACAGATGTCAGCCCCAAACGGCCTCTAGACGACCTACACGCGTGAGCGAGAGCGCGCGTGAGAGAACGGCAAATGTGCGCTCGGCTCGAGTCGGCTTTCGTATGGCGTCGTAGCGCCATCGTGTTTTGGCATTCGTGTCTCGTCGCTGCTTCTGCTGCCTCTGCTTTCGTTGTCGGCGGCGGCGACAGCGACAGCGACAGCGACTGAGGCTGCTGTATGCTATGCCAAGTCGCTTGTTCGTCAACTCCATTCATTCGTATTGCGCGTCTCGTCTGTGCCGGTCGTCCAAAGCTGCTCAGGTCTTACAGATTGTGCTTCATTTGTCATCAACCACACAGACACTACCACACATACACACACACGCAGCCACAGACACTTCATAGAATCATACAGTTAGGTAGACAGTGTTCAGCAACAAAGACAAAATAGTGCTTTAAAGTGCCGAAGTGAACATTCGCAGCAATCAAATCGAATACAACACAGAAAGCAAACGCGTTATTCATGCAAAATAAAATCAAATCAAATGAAATAATACAAAATAAACTTGACTATCGCCAGACACAGACACACGCATACACTCAAATGCGAAGAGAGACAACAAAACAGCAGCAGGCCGGCCAGACAACTCACAAACACATAAACATATACAGCTAGCAGTTAGCAGCTACAGTTATCAAATGCGGCCGCCGCCGGCCTGTCAACTTGTCCAGACAGCGAGAGCGAGAGCGAGAGAGAACGACACAGAGAGGGAGAGATGGGGGAGAGAGAGCGACAGCGAGAGTGTGTGGGCTAGAGCGAGCGAGCGAGAGCGGGCCTATAAATTTCATATGTGCAATGTTTGTGCCTGGCTGCTGTGCTGTGCGTTGTATCAGCTAACCGGATGTTGATTTGTTGGCCGCAACAAACACAAAACATGGTCCAAGCCAAGCAGCAGCCATCTTAACACTCACACCCATGCCCACACACACACTCATAGAGAGAGAGAGAGAGAGAGGCATACGCACCCCCTTGCTGGTACATTTGCAACACTGGCGCTGCCTTTAAGCACGATGAAAAAGAATGCAAAATGATGCTAGATAAAAGACTTGCAACACGCTTGAATGAGGCCAGAAAACAAAGCCAGACAAGAGTGCATATTCACATACTCTCTATACACTCCTCATATACTCTCTCTCTCTCTCTCTCTCTCTCTCTGTCTATCAACTCTATATTCTATATATAGGCAGCCATGGAACGGACAAGCACAGCTTTAAATAGGTAAGCGAGAGAGTTAAGCTTACTTCATTCTTAATAGGCCTAAAACAAAGAGGAGGCTATGACTTTTGGAAAATTGTTTCACAAGAATAGGTTTTACTTGAAATTGTAGAATATATTTTGAGATGCTAGTCAGCACTTTATAAGTGAATGCAAGATCTACAGTGAAAAGCACTTATTCAGAAATAATTTTTAACCAATTTCAATTGTAACTTTTAGATGACAGTAAGTCTAATTCTAGGAATCTAAAAGAATTTGAAATTATTTATATATGGTACAAATTTAAGAATGCACAATTATGCATTCCTTATGATGTTCTTTTTGTAATTAATCTAGAGTCCATTTTGGATATAGATAGCATCTCCACTAGGTATGGAAATTTAATCTTAAATACAACAGAAGAAACTGGAGTAAAGTTAAATAGAACATCAAGCTGAGAAAATATTTCCAAAATTTTATATTTTTAAGACTTTATATTTTTGCTGTATATAAATGATGTCTGATATGAACTAAAGAGCTATACACCAAATTTAAAAGAAGTAAGTTTGGGTCAGTTTATAATTAAAGTAGCAATGAAGTTCTATACAAATGTTTTCGTTTATAAATATTTTTGTTATTGAGGAATTTCGCAAATATGTTAGAACTTGTTCTAAGCTGTCTTAGTTTTTTTTTTTTTTTTCACAAATTAACACGCTATTATTTCGAAACTCGCATACTTGTGCTACATAGTTAAGTCTAGATCTACAATCTCTCTCTCTCTCTCTCTCTCTATATATATATATGTGTGTATATTTACATAAATTCCAATTCCCAAAAACCAATTAGACTATCAAATGCGCTTTCGAATCAAGCTGAAAGTGGTTGCTTGTTTGGCGTTTAACAGAGGCAACTAAAAAGGGGCACGTTAGCACACACACATACACATCCACATACAGTTACACCACAGACCCCTTTCCCTGCGCTGCTCTCTCGTTTAACGGGGCGTGCCCCAGAAGCGTGCTAATAAAACATTTAATTAAAACATTAAGCGACGTCACATAATTAAACTGTAGCACCTGAACGAGCCAGCCGAGCGAGCGAGCGAGCGAGAGAGAGCGAGCTATCCCGGCCGAGCTGTCTGCCAAGTTGCACACACACACACAGAGCTAAGCACCCATGTACAGTTAGGTTTTCGACAATTGTAGTAAAAGTTTATCGCCCGCATTTAAAAAACCATGGATTAAAATTCTACTTCAAATGTGCAGAAGAAAAGAATGAAACAGAGAGGGAGAAACAAGAAGGAAACTTTTTTGCTACAATTTTATGCAACATGTTTTCTAGCGTCCCTCTATGTGTGTGTGTCTGTGTGGGGCACCCACATATTGTGCCGGGTAATCCCAACACCAACACCACCACCACCGCCAACCCCAACCCCAACCTCGTTGCAATAAAGATAAGCGTCGCAGTTAGCAGTTAGATACCTGCATTGCTCGTGTGTCAGTGTTGGTTAACGAATGTTGTCCACTAATTGCAGCGCCAAACAGTTTGTAAGCCTGACTATTTTGGCTGCCATTAAGAGGGGGCGGCACAGGGTGGGCGTAACTGCCGGTGCCAGACATTCAGACAATTTCATAGAAAATGCATGAGCACGAAAGCAATTCAATAGCCGAAAAATAGCTAGGCCAGAGGCGTGGCCAACGAGGGGCGGATAGGCCACACTGTACTTGTCGCTTGTACAAAAAAAATGGAGGAAACGAGGAAGAAGAGGCACAAATTACTCGATAGCAGGCGGCAAACTTATAGATACAAGATACGACTGGAATGACGAGCACAAAAAGAAAATAAAAGAATCAAAAGCGAGAAAATGAAAGAAATTTGCACTAAAAATTAAAAAAGAAAAAATAAGAGGCGAAGTACAGCGCAAGGGCGTAGTAGAGGGCGGGGCAATTTGGAGAGGGAGTGGAGGAGGTAACTCAATCGGCATAGAAGCGGCAAAGTTTTCGAATTAATTTATTGATACGACGATAAGGAAATGGAAATGCGAAGCGAAGACAAGCTGCAGATAAAAGAAAAAGAGATAAACGATTTTAATAGAGGGAGAGAGGGAGAAGACCGAGAGGAAGCTTCACTAGAGGGAGAAGATTGTAAAGTGAAGTTGGTTTAATCAAATGGGCACGAAAATTTAAAAGCCAAATGAAAGAGCTGAGCCATAAAAATGATTTGTGACTGCGCACAGCGGCAAGTGTGGTCGGGTGAGAGAGAGAGAGAGAGAGAGAGAGAGAGAGAGAGAGAGAGAGAGAGGAGAGTGAGCGAGGGAGAGAGAGAGAGAGAGAGAGGCGAGTTGATAAAAAGAGATCGTATGAGTCATAATGCGCTGCTCATACGCAACGTTGACAACAGCAGTTGGCATTAAAAAACTTGCATTTGTATTTGTCTACGTCGCCGTGTATTTACTTATGCAAAAAAAAAAAAAAAAGCTGAAAAAAGCTGAACAAAATTCACTTTGTATCTGATTAAGAGTGTATAAAAAGCCAGGCAAACAGTAAGAACAAATGTTAACGCGCCTTAGAAGAGTGGCAAAGCGCAAACGATGTTATAGCCAAAGACAAACAAAAGTAAAGAGGAAAAAAAACAGTAAAGAGATAGCTGTAACAAAAGTGAATAATTAAATACTCTAATAATAATTCAATACTCTAACTAGCCTTACCATTTCTAAATTGATATCATGTTCAATTTCTTGCCAAATTTGAATATTCAGGCGAGTCTACTTTGTGGTTTCATATGTCTTCAAGAGAATTATTGGGTGAAGCTATTTAGTTTAGGCATTTTTACTGCCTATTTCTTGAGCCTAATAAGAACAGAAAATATTTAATAGATTTGATTACTGACTGCTAAAGATATTTTAGCATAGAACTGATTTAATTCAAGCAAATCTAAAATAATTTTTCGAAAGTTTTTTTTATGTTTATATATAATAAATAAAAAAGAAAACTAAAGCATTCTAAAAGTTACTTTCATGCTCCAAACTATAAGCTCATTAGGGATTCATCCTAAAATTCGGAATTGCAAGAGTCAATTTAAATGATACATTCCGTGCCATCAGGATATCTATATTTCGATTCTTCACTTTTGCGTTCTCTGTGCTCATACAACTTGTTTTCTAGTAGACTCTTTTTAATTATTCCTTAATTGAATTGAACTTGGATTCTACATTATGTAAAATTATATTGAGTTTATTATCTCTGAAAGTTTCTGCTGTGGGTATCAGCTAATTGGCTATGTATAACTATAGATGTATATATATGTATTTCCATATAGACAGAGTTAGTGGATCTTCATTCAGGCTGCTCACCTAACTGATAGACCCCGCAATATTTCGCAGCGCATTATCAAGAATCAGACAGCTGTAGCTGCAGACATCTATTCGCACACACTCAATTGTTGATACACACGGCTCTTGGCTGAGGGTGTATGTTTGTATGTGGGCAAATATATGCACATAAGTAAAAAGTATTTTTGGCAGAGCAAGAGGCGGGACAGTAGCTCTGCTCCCGCAGCTTCCTCCTCTCCCCTCCTCTATCTGCTTGCTTCTTCGTGTTCAATAACATTTCGATAACATTTCACTGCGACTTTGACTTTGCGCATTTCGCTCTATATAAATATACAATAGTTTGTTGTTGTAGCTGATATGACGCTTAAAAYACATATATATATGTTCTTTATATATACACATATATTTATATGTACATATGTACGTTTATAAAAACAACTATAAAAAATGCAAATTTTATTTCGCTTTTTATGCGCGGGCTTTTGTTTTTTTTATTTGTCTCTTTGTATTTGTTTGTGTGTTTTTTTTGTTTTTCGTTCGCGCTTGGGTTTGTTGTTTGGATTTGTTTTAAAACGTTGCTCCGATTTATTTATTGTGCCATTCATGCTGTAACTGTATTTCCATTGGATGCTGTAGCTGTAGCTGTAGCTGTATCTGTAGCTGTATTTCCATTTAGCTACACAGCATTTATTTATTGTCCTTGTTTTCTTTCGGCCGCATCGCAACTGCTGCAATTTATCGTTGGCAAAAACTAGAGGCTAGTAAAATATTGAAATATCAATACAAATTTCACCATGATTTGCGCTGCAGTGACAGAGAGAGCTGGATATACATAGAGAGAGGGGGAGAAAACTCTTTTCGTCCATAAATAACATGCGTTGCTATAGTTTTCTCCGCTTCAGTTTAGATAAATGCAATTTGTGCGCAATTTAATTGACAACAGAAACTGGGGAATTGTAAGAACTTCAATTGTTTGAATTGTTTGGACTCTCTCTCTCTATATATAAGCATTTATATATACACTGAGATTAGTCCATGATATATGTGCATCCAGCATAATGCCACTCAGTGCCTTTTCCCTGTCTGATAGCTTCCAAATGATTTATAATGCTGTCACTGGGAATTGCCTCGGTTTGATTTGAAACGAACTGAAATGCACTAAAAGAACGAAAAGCCAATCAAATGTATATTATCTTTAATGCTCAATTATTGGGTTGCCTTTCGGTCAGTCTTATATATGTGTATACATTGTTTATACTGTTGCGTATATACATATATATATAGATTAATTTTATTGTTGTTTACTTTTGCATTATAGACCTAGTCTTGGCAGCTATAGAGCTGCATCCCTATATGTTGCATCCAGCTGCCAGCGAGCATACTAAAAATATCAGTCTTAACTTAAACTAATTATAATAATAACAAATATAATAATATCAAAACACATTTTAAAACCAGAAAGAAAATTAAATTATAAAATAATGTTTATTCTATTGTAGATCTTATATAGCTCAAGCTATGACACCATATTATCTCTTCACCTCTCATCACTTTCAAAACCTCTCCGTCAGATATCCTGCAACAACTTTTGTAGCTCAGTTCTTTCTGTTTTTGTTGTTTTTAATTCCTTAATTATATTTTATTTTGCTTTGTCAGCGATTCCTAAACGTTTTACTTAGCCAATTCGGCTAAT